GAAATTGGCTCAACTTCCCCACCCGCCCTATTCACCAGATTTGGCACCCTGCGACTTCTTCCTCTTCCCAAAAATGAAGAAAAACCTGAAGGGGAGGCGTTTTGACATGCAGGGGGATCTTGTGAAGGCGATGGAAGAGGAACTGGAGAAGTTTTCAGAAGCTGATTTGCAGGACTGTTTTTCTGCATGGTTTGGTCGCATGAAAAAGTGCATCGATCATGGCGGAAAATATTTTGAGAAGTACTAATGTGTTAAAGAAAGTATCCTGAAAAAATTGGCGAAATCAGAGAACAATAAAAGCATTTTTCCGAGAATACATTGACCAGCCCTCGTAAAGGACTATGTTTTAAAAGTTTTTGAGTCGCTAACATACTCAGAAATGTTTGGCTGTAGTTATAAGCAGTATTTGGGACCATTGATTTGCACTCAATCTCAATATGCTCTTGACTAAGTTCTGATTAATTTCTGACTAAGATCCAATTACCCATCACCTACCCACATTTTGGACATGTGAACTGAGGAAGCCTGATGCCCCTTTTGTGATCAGTACCTTGAAAATGACCTTGTTGTGTGGAAAGAAGTCCATGTCATATATGTGCCTGTATGTGAGCCAAGAAAACATAGCTGTGATGGTTTTTGTGACTCATGCTAAGAGCATTGTGATGGCAGCTGAATCTTCAAGGAGGGGTAACTCAACAGGTACCAATTCCCAATGCATACTGAGTTTTCACTTATTTTTTGCATTCATTTCCTCCACTTCAGAAGCACAAGATGAACTGCAGTTAGATATCTCAGGGCTTTCAATGTATTGAATCCTTGGCATCAATTATTTTCATGACAGTTTGAGCTTTATTCAATGGATTTATAGGATTGTGCAATGGAGGCAGGTACAACAGTGACCGGAGGCCAGACTGTTATGAACCCTTGGATCACGATAGGAGGAGTTGCTACTGCAGTTTGTCAACCTAATGAATTCATTGTGTAAGTTATTGGCATTAGATTGAATGGGAATTTTATGTAAGAATATAATGATGTTTGTGATTGGATGATTTTCATATTCTTTTTTTATTGATGGTACCAGGCCAGATTCAGCCGTGCCAGGTGATGTGCTAGTGCTGACCAAACCTTTGGGAACACAAGTGGCTGTTAATGCTCATCAGTGGTTAGATCAGCCTGAACGATGGAACAGAATCAAACTTGTAGTGTCAGAAGAAGATGTCAAGAAGGCTTATATGAGGGCTATGGACTCCATGGCTCGGCTGAATCGAACAGGTTTGCTTCTTTCTCTGAGGATTTTTCCCCCATGAACTTCTTTGGTGTTCTTTGATGGTAGGCTTTCTTTGTGGCAGCGGCAAGAATGATGCACAAGTACAATGCCCATGGAGCAACAGATGTCACAGGATTTGGCCTCTTGGGTCATGCCATGAATTTGGCCAGGAATCAGAAGCATGAAGTTTCTTTTGTTATTCATAATCTCCCCATCATTGCAAAAATGGCTTCGGTAGCGAAAGCATGTGGAAATATGTTCCAACTCCTCCAGGGTCTCTCTGCAGAAACATCAGGTTTGTTGATATCCATTTTCTCATTATGAATGAACACACATAGATTCACTTTAAATCTTTTTTTTTTCCCAGGTGGGCTGCTTATCTGTCTTCCAAGAGAGCAAGCAGCTGCCTACTGTAAGGATATAGAGAAGCAAGAGGGGTATCAGGCCTGGATCATAGGGATTGTGGAGAAGGGGAATCGAACCGCTCGCATCATTGATAAGCCACGTGTCATTGAAGTCCCTGCAAAGGAGAAAGATGGGGAACTTTGGTAGACTTTCATTCTGTCCTGTGTCTTATTTCCCACCGTCTCTCTTTCGCTTTTCTCTGTAGGCCCATGCTTACATTGTTACAAGTCTCATTTCCTGCTTCTCTTTGTCAATCATTCCCAGCCTTTGAAGAAAGTGGATGAAGGGAACTCCCACATGACCCATGGTAGAGGAAATGCTGTCAGCCAGCAACTTGCCATGGTGATCCTCCTCTTGAGTTCTCCTGACTTGCTTTGCTTTTCTTGATTCATGCTATGTTGGAAAGAATTCCCACACATTGGTTGATCATAGTCTCAATAAAAATCTTTTTCCATCTTGACTGAAAATGCAGACTACTTCTTGAAGAAAGGGATGGAACCTCAGTTGTACATCCATGTTAATTATGCTAATGAGAATACTTGCTATTTTCAGATTTTTACCCAGAGTGGATGTAAAAAAGTTTTTTAGTGATTTTATTGATGTGCTCTTTATTGATTAAGATGTCTTTGAGCAATTTGGAGAGTAAATAGTACTATTCTTCCTGGCTTGAATGCAATTCACTTCAAGGAAATAGAGAAAATAGTTGTTGCACAATAAGTTCTTTATTGCATGAGGCCAAAGTTTGCAATTGCTTGCACATTGTATACTTGCATATGCTAGAACAAACAACATTGAGGACTGGCAAGTTTGTATACTTGCATATGCTAGAACAAACAACATTGAGGACTGGCAAGTTTTACTGATTAGTTGTTGAAGTAGGAGGACACATATCACTTTTGAGTAATTATGGGTAGTCTAAGTCCTAACTTGATAGTTGTTGCTGTCCATGCTTAAACTAAATTTAAAAAATTTGTAAACTCCAAAAGTATTCATTGAAAGTATGTATGCTTATCCAAGTACATTGTAACTTATTTTTACCTTGAACCATGAAAAACTAGTGTAACAACTGTTTGTCTCGAAGTTTAACTTTTATTCTAGTTTCATTTGAAAGAAGAGACCACACAAATTTTGAAAGAACTGGTAAGCAATGGTGGCAACATTGTAGATAGACTCTGAAAATTGCCAATTTTGGCAATAAAATGGACACTTTTTCACTAACCACTATAGACATACATCAAGAAACCACATGAATCATTGTGTATCATTGGTATGATGGTACTGGTCTTATCTCTCCCAGGGTAGGCAATGTGTAAACTCTTTTTCTGGAGGTATATGGGGGGAACTGCTCTTTGAATATCACAAACTTATGAAGACGTTGGAGTTTTTCTAATGTGTAGCAATTGCCTTGGTAATGCCGTGCCACAACATTTCCAATTTTTCAATGTTTGTCTTGTAAACAATTGCACAATAGGTGCTGGCTTGTACTTGGACAGACATTGATTATTGCCTGCACATGGTTTGAGCTGAGAATGGTGCTCACATGGAAGTAATGTAATGGCAAAACTGTGCATGAATAAGCTTGTGATGCTAGTGTTCAAGATGCTGCTAACTCCAAATGTCTATCTTGCATAGAAAATATTTTATTGACATATAAAAGTGTATCCATAGTTTGTGGACAGCCTGCATTTCTTGGAAATATTTTCATTGACATAAGTCATCTATGGAAAGGATCTCTCAGCTCGCCCAGTCATTCTGCTGTGTTTTCCACTTGAGTCAGACATTTTTTCGCTTGACTCAGGCACTCGTGCATGAGGAACGTTCCATACATGAGTGTCCAAATGAAAAATTGACTGAAAAACACTAGATTACTCTGAAATCTTGCATGTGATCATACCTTCCTTGCTGGATTGGAGTAAGGTTTTTTTGAGCGATGTCTGACGAGCTAGTGTGTTAGGTGAAACCTGTTCATTAAAGTTCCCCTCATCATATATACAGGGTATGGCAATAAAAGACTAACGACTTCTAACCTTTCTGTCTGCTCTCACTGAAGCTTTTTTCACGAAATTTGCGCTATGCATAGAATGAAAAGTTCCAAACGGGCTTTTGAAATGTAATCCAAATTGAAATCGACAAAGCAAAGTGATGTGAAATCACTCAAAAGAATTCTGGAATTGAATATGAATAGGCGACACTAGTTCTTTGTGCTTCATCCTGAATTTCAAGTCCTGGCTAGGTCTCTTGGGAAGAGAGAGAAAGTTGAATAAACGTTGAGCAGTCTCTCTGTTTCAATGGTTACTGATTAATCCGTCATTAGGTGAAACTAACCTAATCACGACTTCGTAGGAAAAGTCCAGCTTAAAAAAGGACTCGATGGAAGAGAAGTTGGACGTCGCTTGGAGGATGTGCAAGAGCGCTCGGGTGTCCTCCCCACTTCCAGATCAGCTCTTGTCCATTTTGCACATAGTCTTGCTGCGGAGCAATGAATTTGAGAGAAATTTAGGGAATAGGTTGGAAACATCCGACTATCCACCGTTAAAGTTTCGTGAAAACAGCTCCAGTGGGAGCGGAATTGAATCGGTTTAAAGTCGTTGGTCTTTTGCGATACCCTGTAGATGTGATGCTCTGCAAATTACCTTCCAGTTGGAGAAACTGGAGCTCAGTAGGACGTTGAATTTTTTTCCCCCTTAAACTAGATGGTGTTGGGTAAAAAATTAGGCAGGCCCATCACATTACCCAGCACCAGTGGCGCAACCAGGAGGAGAGGGGGGCCTCCCAAGGGGTGTGAACCCCTCAAACCCATGCTCATGATCATAGGCGCCGAACCCAGGGGGGCAAAGGGGCACGTGCCCCCCCAACTATATTATTGAGGGGGCAACGCCCCCCCAATAATGGCAAAATTTCAACAAAGGCACATGGAAAATTGAAAACAAAATGCTGCTTCACGAAAGAAATGAAAAGTATGATTTTTCTTTCTGTTTTGAGTTCCAACTGGGGGAGATCCCCAAGTCACCCCGTACGGGTATGGGGTGGAAGGGCCATGCCCAGCACCCCAGCCCCCCCGCTCGTCACTGCTACCATAATAATACTGAACTACCCCAATGGATCCTGGAATAACTGCGTCATTGTTATTTCAGGGGCAATAGGAACTTGCCCCCCCAATATTTTTTCAAAGTCGGCGCCTATGCTCATGATAGCATCCCTCTGCTTCCCCGATCCCCCGGGGATGGGGGATGCTGAGAGATATTGGGTGGATTGCACAAAACTGACTTCAGCGTAATGAAGCTTTAAACATCCTTTAGCGGTGCAAAAGGAGGTTTAACCCTCCTGTAGTGGTGCTAATGGAAGTTTAAAGCTTCAATATGCTAAAGTCAGTTTTATGCAATCCACCCATGATCATTGAACGACCAGAGAGCGAGGCTATAAAACGACCAAGATGAAGAGCTTAGGGAAGCTGAAGGTCATGCCAGTCTCAGATTAGTACTCTCTTGAGTAAAGTGAAAACGTCACGGAAACGTCCTGCACATGTTACACGGTTGAATTTCTTTTCGGGAAACGGAAAATGAACTCGGATGAAGGGTGTGATTCACGCATAAGTTAGCAAATTTCCAGTTGCATGTCTGCGCAATGAAATTTGGGCTGGGTCTTGAAATTAATTTCGGTATTCAGCTTTTATATTTTCACAGTGAATGCGCTATATCATTTACTGGTTAAATCCCGTTTTCGTTCGTAGTTGTATTTGTCGAAATTCCCCATTTCATTAAGAAAATTTATTTGCTTCATCTTTCATTGAAAGGCTGAAGCGGTTTATCTGCAAACAAATCTTTGTATAACTCCACACAAAAAGAGTGAATATTCCAGTGACCGTTATGTTAAAAGTGAGAAAATGGTGTGTATCGATAATCACTTCATCTTTTACATAATTCCAAAAAAAAAACTATCATTTTCTCAAAAGGAACAAGGTTCTATGAGCACTAAAGCAACCAGTGACGTAGGGAAGGGTTTAGGGCAGTGGTCGGCAACTGGCGACCCGCGAAGGCCCGGCTATCGCACATTACGGTCTTACAGTCGGCGTTCTGCTGGACGTTTCACATTAGACATTCATCAAAATGAAAACTTTAATGGCACTCGATGAGTGTTGGCCCGCGAACGTGCAGCATTTTGTCATCCGACCCCCCGTGAAATTCAGTTGCCGACCACTGGTTTAGGGGGCTATAACACTCCCTTTGGGCTTCCCGGTCGGTGACACCGATGGGCATATTTGAACCTTCCTTGGGAATTTGGATTTTTGGCTATCCCCCTTCGAGTAAAGTCCGATGTCTGTCCACAGACCCGAAATGCCAGACCACGATTTCTTCGAAAGGGCAAATTCCGGCCCCGATGGGATTCCTGCGAGATTCATTAAGGAAACCGCGAGAGAAATATCGGTTCCGCTAAGAATTATATTCGAAAGCAGCTTTTTGCGCGGGGAAGTACCTAAGGACAGCAGACTTGCAAACGTCGTACCGATCTTTAAGAAGGCCGAAAAGAGCCATCCAGGAAAATACAGGCCTGTAAGTCTCACGAGTATCCCAGAGAAGATCATGGAGAGCATACTAAGGGACCATCTCTTGAATTTCCTCGAAGGAAACGCGCTCATTCGGGACTCTCGAGATGGCTTTAGGAGACGTCGAAATTGTCTCAAAGATTTGCTCGAATTCCACGACTGGGCGACGGAAGAGAGGGATGAGAGGAATCCCGTGGACATCGTCTATTTAGATTTCGCGAACGCTTTCGATACCGTTCCTCACAAGAGGTTGCGGGTGAAACTGGAGGCGCACGGGATCCAGAGTAGGACGAGCGAGTGGATCGGTAGCTGGTTGGCAGGACGAGAGCAACNATTTAATTAGTTCAAATGGTGCAACACATTCGTCATACCTCCAAATGTGTTCAACCATCACTTGGGGTTGCGGTCTTCCTTAAGGAAACGGATTTTTCTTCCTAGATGGGAATAGATGATTTCAGTTCTCTCCGTCTTCCTACTTTTCATCCCCTACCCTTGGCAGCCACTCCTGTGGAGTTTTCAGAAGAAAGAAGCCAACCAAACGAAAGATATTGTGTTTTAGTTGACGAAAAGAGGAATATTTGGTTGTTGGCAGGCCACTATTTCGCCATAAATAATATGAAATTGGTTTTAATTGCTGTATTGCCGTAATGAATTGTAATTGCCGCTCAGGTCAAGACAGGAATTCCTTACTTGCAGAGTGGTGAACGCGTGGAATGCGTTAGATGACGAAGTAGTGGCTGCCCCGCGCTGTGACTATCTTTAAGAAGAAACTGGATGCTTTCATGGACAGGCAAAAAGGTGGAGGGCAATGTTGACGTTAGGTACTAGGTTGGGGTGTCTACCTGGCCGCAGCCCTTCCTTGCCGATTTCCTGTCTACGCCACTGAAACCAGCTACTTTTTTCGAAAAATTTTTGCAGATAGACCACTTTA